GCACTTAAGGTAAAGAAAAAAGGTAGGGCAACCTTTTTATTCAATCAGGACTAACAGTTCTTGCAGTCTCTGATAGCAATACTGATTTATTCCCTGAATTTTTGTAACATAACGTTGCAAACGATTTACCATTTGATTTGCACTCATAGAGATTATCATTGTTTTCAACACCTCCATAGTCACGTTTGCATCCGCTAGATGTTGCTGCAAGTAAATGTTTGCTTGTTGACAACAGCTGATGCCTCTGCTTCATATTCAACGCCCAGTATGGGAATCGGGGATGTAAGGCAAACCTCCATTCAAACTTACCATTTGGTAGCCGCTCTGAAAACGTCATCAGGTGTTTGAATGCCTCTGCCAAACTTACCTCATGCTGCCTGACTCTGTTTGTCGGGTCACCTTTCCCATGGGGAAATAGTGTTGGAAATGCCATGCTTGCCAAACCAGCATTACCTTCTGTAGATGGCCAAGTCCAAAGGGTCGACCTCATTCACAATTGTTGCATTAGCACTCATTTCAGGTTCTTGTGGGGGCCCCTCATTTTCTGCATGAACTAAAAGTTCCTGGTCATCAATAACATACCTTAGCTCCTCAGGGATACCATTCTCTGGTAGACTTTGGATCACATCCCTGTCAATCTTAATGTCTTTGAAAAATGGATTGTTTGTTTTCAACGACAATATAGCTTGAAACACCTTGTGTCGACGAAATGTGAAATCTTTATGTGTGTGATCAGCACCACGTCTCCACACAATCATAACAGGCAAGTCAGCCACTTGTGCAGGCAACCTATTCAAGAAACTTTGAATATCCTGTGGTAAGTTTAGTACATGGCCTTTATAGCCCCTTTGCCCACCATGTTTTCTGTAGACTTGCATGATGGGGAAAACCCTTGAAATCAGCATTTCCTCTACCTGTGTCAAACCTCTCAATTGCTCAGGAACAATACCTGGGTCCATGTCATTGCCAGCACTGAAATTCTTTGGGGACTTGTCTCTTTGACAGCGGTAACAAACAAAGGGATCTGCTGCCAAGTTTTGCTTTGTTGGCCAAGCCTCTTTACAAATTGTACACTGGCGATGCTGTAAATGCTCTTGATCTAAATGAAAACTATGCATTTCATTCTGAACAAATTCCTGCTCATGCAAGGGGTTGTCAAAATTTTGCCAGCTAGCTTCATGTAAATATTGGTCACAACTACTTATAGCATCATCATTTGTAATATTAATAAATAAATGTAATATTAATCACAATAGAAACTTTAACTCAAAAGTGAAGCAGAATATTCAGTTAAACCTAGTGTTTTCTCTGTATTAGTGTGAGAACCTGTTCATTACATGATCGCAACATGTGAATTGTTGCCAATGACATCATTCATCAAGTCTGTGCATCAAGTTCTGTGCATTTCATTCTGAACAAATTCCTGCTCATGCAAGGGGTTGTCAAAATTTTGCCAGCCAGCTTCATGTAAATATTGGTCACAACTACTTATAGCATCATCATTTGTACTTTTCTCATCACACAATCTTACCTGATCGTTTTCTCACTGTACCTGCTGAGGTATTGACCTTGTCTTATAGGATCTTTCCTCTCGTCTCTTCATATTTTCATGCCTTTCTGCTCGTATTTGGACACTTTCTTGTCGCCTTCTCTCTCTTGTGTTAGCTCTATTTTCTTCCCTTTGCATCTCACTTTCTTCACTTGTACTTGCTTCCTTTCTGTGTTTATAAGAAGCCCTACGCTTTGCCAAGCGACACTCTCTTTGTTCTGGTGTTTCTCGTTGAAAAAGTTGCCGTTCTTTTCCTCTTTCCATCTCAATTTCCTCGCTAGTACTTGCTTTGTTCCTGCCTTTATAAGCAGCCCTACGTTTCGCCAAACAACATTCCTTTTGTTTCGGCGTTTTTAGACAAGATATTTGTCGTCTTTTTTCTTTTTGTTTCCCTCTTTCATCACTTGTACTTTCCTCAATCCTTCTCTTGTACGCAGCCCTTTGCTTTGCTAATTGACACTGCTTTTTCTCTTGCATTCCGCATCCAACAGGGCTCGATTGTTTATCCTTCTTCTTGCCAGCATTTCCTCATCCTTACCTGCTGCTTTTTTCCAATCTTTTAGCTTATTGCTTTCCCTATTTGCCATCTTTCAATTGAAAATTTCCTCGTTTAAAAAGAGTTTTTTGTTTTCGTTTAAAAAGTGGTGTATGTAGCAGATTTGACTTTACACAAAATGTCCTTTTAAAAAGTTTTTAAAAAGACAGTTAAATCTCTGACGTTTTAGTTTTTAATCCAAACTTTTCGTCTTAGCGAATCAGGAAGTTGCTGATTACCAGTCTACACTCGTTTGCATTTCGCGCATGCTGACAAGTACCATGACCATTGAACGTCCATGGTCCAAATTTAGGCGACGTTGGATTCCGCTATGTTCTCTCGGGTCCCGGGAGTAATTCCTAATCTCCGGGCGGAATTAGTACCTTCGCACGGTGCTCTGCACCGGCTCGGGGATTATGTTAAGGTTTCTAGAGAAGGAGGCAACATGGTTTTATGTAATACAATTCGTGTTCTAAGCTTCATTTAACTTATAATTCATGCACTAAGCTTGTTTTGCATGTAAAATTATGACAAGGTTTCTAAAGAACGAAGCAACGTAGATGTATGTAATACAATTTGTTTTCTAAGCTTCATTTTACTAATTCATATACTAAGCTTCTTTAGCATGTAAAATTATGATTGTCAACAAATTGTATATATATCGTATACATATTATATGTATATATATATATATATTATATGTATATATATATATATATATATATATATATATATATATATATATATATATTATATGCATATATATATATATATATAATTTAGAATGATCCAGTTTCATGTTATAATTCATGTACTAAGCTTGTTTGTCTTACAAAATTATAATAAGGTCTCTAAAGAACAAGGCAAGATGGTTGTATGTAATACTTCTAAGCTCACACTCATTGGCGTTTGCTTCCCATTTTTGCCATCGGTAAAAAAATTGTCGGACGGTAAGGATGTTTGTCAAATGGATCAGATCAATCAATCGGACCATTCAACATTTCACACGCCGCACATTGAACATGCACTACCACGCGAGCAGTAACCCTTGCAGCAAATATAACCGGCAAAATATTATCAGACGGTAAGCAAGATTGTCCGGTCAATCCATCTGTACTATCTACAAGAATGGTTTGTTGATCGGATACCGATCGTCAGTATTGGACTTTATGCCATTTGCATAGCCAAACTGGTTACATCAAAATTGCCATATTTTGTTTTATTGGAAAGACAAGTGCCGGGTAACGAGATTTCCTGTTCCCAGACCTTTTGTCTTGTAGAAAACTAGACAGAAATTTAAATATGGAAGATAATAATGTGGCTTTCATGTTTCCTAGCTTTTTTGCAATAATTTTGAAGAATATTTTTAGGAATGAAAGGTTCTCCTTGTGTACTTAGCACCATTGATGGAACACATATAAGAATAAGAACACCAAGTGATTATCCAGATAGTTATCTTAACAGAAATAGATCTCTCAGTTTTTTATTTTAATTAAATTTGTTTCATTCTAATCTTACAAATCAATATTTTTACTCATTCAACTTTTTGTTTTTACAAAGGCCTTTTGTGCTTGTGACCTCACCTTCACAAATGTTTATGCCTTCACTGATGTGCTGGCAGCAGTTAAACAAGATGCTCTCAGAGATTATTTGTCATTGTAAAAAGAGGCAATATAAAATTTACAGTCTTGGAAAATTTCAATTATATTGAAAAATGATTTATTAAGCCTTTTAGGACCATGTGTATACATTGTAACAAATTTTATTCATAACAATTATTTTAGCGGAATCTAGCGAGTAGATCGAGAAAAGTGTTGTCTTATCTTGTGGGAGTGAAGAATGTTCGGCAAAATGCTGCCTTGGAGAAAGACTATTTTGCACATTTTGAAATAAAATAAGCGATCTGTAAGTGTCCTGTAAATAGTCCGCCCTTACAAATAAAGTTTTTTTGCCATGTAATCTAGTTCCACAGTGTTTTTGCATTTACGACTTCCCGAATTCCCTGTACAAGCAGTTCAATAATACAATTTTTTATGCAACATGTTGCAAACAATCCCACACAGATATTGCTTGAAGCAGCTTTGTTTACATATGTTTTGGCGTGAGAGGAAACTTGTACAACAGTGACATTTTTGTTATTTGGTGAGAGTCTTTCCTGAAAAGTGCTTTGGCTTGGCATTTGAAGCTTGTTTGGCTCTATTATTGGTTGTTGTCGTGCATGTTTATCCTGCTAAATTTAGCGGAACGTTTACATTTTAAATTTTTAATAAATATAATAATATATAGTCTTTAAATTTACTGTTAATAAAATAGTTGTTCAAATTTAGTCCCAATACTAATAAAATAGTCTTTAATAAGGTAAATTTTAGTGAATTTACACAGAATATAAGCTAGGAATTAAATTAGTAAATTAATAATATAAATAGAATTCTGTAGGTTTAAATTTTAGATAGATATTTAATATGTTTAAATTAAGTAACTATGAAGGATAAACCTTGCACATCAACTGATGCAGACCAGCATTCATCATTGCCAAACACAAAAACTGAAAAAAAAGAGCGGTGGAACCTACTGTTGTGTTCCATTTTGTAACAGCAACACTAAGGGGAATCCTGAGCTGTCCTTTCACCAGTTTCCTACAGAGCTAAAACTGCAATGGCTGCACTGGATTGGTCGGTTCGATTTTCAACCAAATCAGTACCATCAGGTTTGCTCAAAACATTTTGAAGGAGGAAAAAAGACTTGTCTGCATAATATACCAACCATTGGTCCTAAACTAATCCAACCAACACCAACCAAGGAAAGACAAACATTTCAATGTCGGGAACGTTACAATACACAAGTACCTGAACCCAGAAAGCACAAAAGAAGTGAAAGATTTTGAAACCTCTAATCGACGAATAAAGTCAGAAAGTCATGGCAAGTGGCCGAATCAATTTAACCCCAATGGCGCCAGTTGATCCCTTGGCAGATCCAAGTTCTCTCAGCCAAGAATGGAAAACGTGGAAACGACGATTTGAAACATATCTTGTGGCTCTAAATGTAACGAAGAAAAAACAAAAGCAACCTCTCTTGCTGTACCAAGCTGGCCAAGAGACTCAGGATATTTTTGACATCTTTGCTGAAATCAGAGAAGATGACGATTATGATTTCGCCATTGCTGCCCCTGATACGTATTTTTCACCTCAAAAACACATCGATTTTGACATCTTTAAGTTTTGTGAAGCCAAACAACAATCCCATGAAACCATAGATCAATTTTCAACTTGTCTTCGGAAAATGGCAACAAACTGTGACTTTGCAAATATTGATAAAGAAGTGAAATCGGCCAAAACTCAAAACTGTTCATCGACATGTTTACGACGCTATGCCCTTCTCGATTCAGAGGTTACCTTAGCCAAGATTCTCGCTAAAGGCAGAGCTTTCAAACTTAGTGAATCACCAGCAGCCGGCATTGAAAACGCACTGGAATCAATACATATTTCTGACGAAGTAGCTGAGGCCGTGCATCCTCAAGAGACAGCCAACCAAAGTAATCATGATCAACAATCAACATTGTTTCATCATCAAGATTTTCACACTTCATCACAGTGTCGAAATTGTGGGGGGCTCTGGCCCCATAACAACAATATTTGTCCAGCAAAGGGAAAATCCTGTTTGAACCGTGGAAAAACTAATCATTTTGCCAAAGTCTGCTGTAGTGCCCGCAAGCCTCGTATAAGTCAATGAGAAAACCAAAACTCTTCAAAAAAATACCAAAGAAAAGTCCAAAAGATTTCTCGCAAACCCTCCAGCAATAAAAGCAGCAGCGAGGATGAATTATTTTTCACGCTAAAATCATCATGTAGAGACAAAACAACACCTCGGGTCCAAATCTTGGTCAACAACACACCTATTAACATGGTTATCGACACTGGTGCCTCCATCAACATCATTGATGAACTTGCTTTCAACATATTACAGAAACAGAGACCCTTATCCCTACGACATTCCAAGACACATGTTTTTGCTTACGGTGCCACCACCAGTTGCCTGTTATGGGCCAATTTCATGCCACCTTGCAATGCGCGATAGGCACAACAACAACACAAGTTCATGTTATCAAAGGAAATTTTGGTTGTTTGCTCAGCTCAAATGGCATCTGCTTTGGGTCTAATTATGCTAAAGATCAACAATGTAAAATCTGGACGGTCCACCCATGATCAATTGTTGAAAGAGTATGCCCATATATTGAATGGAATTGGAACCCTTAAAGATTGTGAAATTAAATTGCACATTGATGATACTGTTCCTCCAGTGGCACAGAACCCCTGCTGTATTTCTTTCCACATGCGGCAAAAGGTCTCAGATGCACTTGACAAACTAGAAAGTGATGGAATTATTGAAAAAATATCAAAAGCAACTCCTTGGGTCAGCCCATTCGTGGTTATTCCAAAGAAAGATGGCGATGTCAGACTGTGTATTGACATGCGTAAAGCCAATGAAGCAATTCAGCGCGAACAGCATCCAACTCCAACTGTGGATGATTTAATTCACAAGCTAAATGGTGCCACCATGTTCACAAAGCTTGATCTTTGTGCAGGATACAATCAGTTATCGCTTGCAGAGGAAAGTCTACACATAACCACCTTTACAACACACAAAGGGCTTTACTGCTATAAGAGGTTGAATTTCAGTACCAATTCCGCAAGTGAGATTTTTCAACACGTCATTAGCGAACAGATCCGGGACATTCCGAATGCCATTAACATTAGTGATGACATAGTTATTTTTGCACAACACAAGCAGAGCATGACAAAGCCCTTCATGAAATATTTGAGCATTTTTCACTCATTGGACTCACCTTAAACCAGGACAAATGCAAGTTCAGTCAAGCACAGCTCACATTTTTTGGTTTTGTCTTTTCGGGTGAAGGAATTTCACCAGATCCAGCCAAGGTCTCAGCCATTCATGACTGCCCACCTCCAAAATCAGTCAAAGCTGTTCGGAGTTTCCTTGGTATGGCAACATATTGTGCAAAATTAATTTCTAATTCAGTGACCTCACAGAACCTTAACGGAAACTAACACGAAAGAATGTACCTTTCTGTTGTTGGAAATGAGCAGGCATTAATCTCAGTGAAAGCTGCTCTTACAAGCGCAACAGTCATGGCATATTTCGATCAAACTAAGGACACAGAACTCATTACAGATGCGTCACCTGTGGGTCTATCAGCGATTCTGATGCAGAAAGCCTCCGGATCAGAACAAAGAAATGTTGTCGCATACATCAGTCGGTCCTTATCAGACGTCGAAAGACGATATAGCCAAACGGAGCGAGAAGCTCTTGCAATTGGGTGGGAGATTGAACATTTACATATTTATTTATATGAAGGACATTTCACTCTGCTAACTGATTACAAATCAGTCGAGTTGATCTTAAACAACCCAAATTCACGACCCCCTGCTAGAATTGAAAGATGGAATCTACAATTGCAGGATTATGATTTTAACGTAAGTTACACCAAGGAGCTTGACAATCCATCAGACTTTCAATCACGACATTTACCTGTCAATGACACCACTGATGACAGACATTTCCAAACAATGGCAGACAACTATGTTTGCTTTCTAACCCAACATGCTGTTCCAAGAGAAATGACCCTGCCTGAAATACAGCAAGCCACTTTGGCTGATTTAACATTACAGTTCCCAGGTACCCTTGTATCAACAGGTCAGTGGCATTTAATCAACTCACTGGATGTGCAATCCAATCCCAACATAAAAGTCTCGGATTTGAAAGCATGCCAGAAAATTGAAACAGAACTTACACTCAATGAACAGGATGAAGTCATATTACGAGGTTCGCGAATTGTCCTTCTCGAAAGCCTTAGACTAAAGGCTATTCATATTGCTCATGAAGGCCACCAAGGGCTTGTCAAAACTAAACAGCTATTATGAGAAAAGGCACATGCCACGACTGGCAAGTCACCGGCTGAGTTGCTTTACAACCGTCAGCTTCAAACAAAATTACCCCATGTGTTGTTTGATAACCAGTCCCTAATTTATCAAGAGCTGAAAGAGAGAGATGAAAGGTTGAAAAATAAACAAAAGGACTATGCTGATTCAACAAGAAGAGTGAAAGTGCTGACATCAGAAAAAGAGATTTAGTTTTGGTGCGACAATCTAAGTCAAACAAAATGTTCACAAAATACGATCCAACACCATATGAAGTTACAAGTCGCCGTGGTAACAGGATCACCGCAATGAGGAATGGGAAATATATAACACAGAACATTTCCTTCTTTAAAAAGTTTCACCCAAAACATGGAAGACCACTGAATTCAACAGATAACCTAGATGAAGAAAATTATTTCTCAGACGAAGATGTTCAGGTAGAGAATGAACAACAGCACAAGCGAGTGCAACAGAATGATCATCCAAGACAAGACATTGGTCCCAGACAAGATGATGGCCCAAGATATCCAGCAAGAGAAAGACGGCGGATCAACATATATGAAAATAACATTTATGATTGACTGTTTGACCAGAACTGAGACAGATAAGATACGATACAGTTTAAACATTATGTTAAGATTTTGTTATAGTTAGTAGAGTTCATATGTAAAGCATAGGAGGGATGCAATGTTGACATTATTGTCACAGGAGGGTCAAGAACAATGTTAGTTACTTAGTTACAAACACAAGGTAGAAAAACATCGAACTTGTAGTAGTGATTTATCTAACAATACTTATATAGTATAAAAAGTTCAGAAGCATTAAATACCAATTTATAAACATTACAATTATAAGTGGATGGAGCACATCATTATCAGCAAGGAGACCAACCAATGGGCAATTTGTACTAGCTTTTTCCAAACTATCTTTTAGATTTTCAAGATCTGATTTTGTAACCTTTTCCATAGATGAACAATACTCTTCCCGTTTTCCCTATACTTATGACCCCTTTCTCCCTTTCTTATCTTTTCATAACTATCTTGTGGGAAAATTATATTCTCAAAATAAAACTGCACCCTTATTTTGCAACTTTCTGGGTACATGCCACTTTTGAAGCTCTTCTGTGCATGTTTTATCATCTGGTACCTCAGTCAAGTCTAGCTCACAAAAGTCTAACATCGACCTCCAGCACTGGCTGTAATGACGTGCATTAAGTATATTTTAAGTTTGACTATTATGTAAATATTATGCATGATTGATAATTTATTTTAAGACGTTTAACATGTGCATATATAATTATAAGACGTTTAACATGTGCAGATAAATCAAATCAGACGGGCAGTGAATCGAACAGTGAACATCTCATTCTAATATTTATAATGATCGAAGTTAAGTTAAAGGTTCAACGGACTTGCTTTAAGCTAGAAAAGGACACAGATGTACGTAAGCTTGTATTTATTACTCTGCCTCTGTGCATTCACATATAATATTTGTAGCCTTAAGCACATAGTTTACCATGTATATAATTTTATGTTTTTAGTTTTTGTTACCTATCCTAATACCGAGCAGCAATGGTAAACGGTTAAACGGCCATAATTTGCTAATTGTGGATTGAGTAAACAACGTCTGTTTAAATCAAGTTTTAGCTGTATTGTATTTACCTGTGTTTTTCTGTGAGCCAGATAGAACTCAGCGTAGATGCACCTACACTGGCATTTGGCATGGGCAATTTCGCCATTAATATGATTCAAATGCACATACACAGAATATTCCTGCTTTCGCATTTCAGCATTAACCTCACTGCGCACTAGGAAGTATGGAATGTCATCACCCTTTCTATGTTTCTTTTTACCCAAATTTTGGTTGCATAACCCGCCTTTTTTGTGTTTTAGGGCTTCAGCTGGTTTTATCCACCTTTTTTGTGTTTTAGGGCTTCAGCTGGTTTTTGATCAGGTATTTTGTCTTTCTCCAAAATTAAATGCTTTTCAATAATTTCATGTGTGACATTTGGCATATCACTCTAGCTTTTTGTCCATAATGGCAAAGATGAATGCTGGTCTGCATCAGTTGATGTGCAAGGTTTATCCTCCATAGTTACTTAATTTAAAAGTACTAAATATCTATCTAAAATTTAAAACCTACAGAATTCTATTTATATTATTAATTTACTAATTTAATTCCTAGCTTATATTCTGTCTAAATTCACTAAAATTTACCTTATTGAAAGGTTTTAAAGACTATTTTATTAATATTGGGACTAAATTTGAACGACTATTTTATTAACACAAAATTTAAAGACTATATATTATTATATCTATTTAAAGTGGCAGTCAAGTCCGTTTTGCGCACGAGCATGTTTTGTTTACATAGTGAACTATTATATATATTTTACATGAAGTTTGCCGCCTATTACTTCCGGTTTTCACGAAATTTGAGAATGTTGAAAATTGAGCGGAAAATATATATATATATATATATATATATATATATATATATATATATATATAAAATATATATATATAATATAATATATAAATATATATATATATATATATATATATATATATATAGTTTATAAAAGAATGCAGCTCGAAAGGTTAAGAAAAAATTAAAAAAGCGAATGAAGCTAGCCTTCAACTTTGTCTTCTACATAATTCTTTGTAAATGCAAGATTGTCGTGCAACTTTTTTTCGCCCTAAAATTGTTGTAATTTACAAATTTGTACAGTCAAGACCCTTTTCAGACTTTTCTGAGGTGGAACTTGTTGAACTTTTGGGACTAGGCGAAGGAAAA